ATTTACAAAGATTCTAAATGGAATTTTCTTGCTAGCCCAGCTGTTGGTATCCAGCTGCCATTATTCAACATATTCACATAAATATTTCACAGGCTGTCAGCAGCCTCCGCGCATTGAAAGAGTCAGAGTCAGAGTCGGAGTCAGAAATCTCTGCAAAGCAACATTAGTCAGTCAACAAAGTGTCAATTTGAAGACTCGCTCATGATGTTCTTTCAATGTTGACAAACTGCTTGGCAGGTTTTTTTTTTACACTTTTTGTGGGCTTCTATTTAGGCTCGACCATCGCAGATTGAAGCTCTTCAAATAATTACAACTTGTTCGCACATCATTCACGTTCGCGAGAAGTGCAAAATATGAAGTATCTGAGTATCTGTCAGCACGTCTGTCGCGCCTGTCCTCGACCCGTTGCATAGCCTCGCTTTTATTTGTTTGCCAAATGACGAATGTGGCCGATGACGACGACGACGACGACGACGACGATGATGATGATGACGAAAAAACGAAAAGGAGGCGACACTTGGTTCATTTATTTGTATTTTGCAGTCGGCAAAATTTCAAAGTCGGCATCATTAACAGCAATGCGCCATTTTGTTGGCCACTCGAATGAGGCTTTGGAGTCGACTCGTTTGGGGAGTCGATGAGTCGTTCCGTTGATTGATGTAGCATGTAACACTGTGGCAAGTCGAGTCGAGTCGAATGCGTTAACCAAATTGTTAAACCAGGCCAGCTGTTAACAGTCTGCTACCCTGCAAACAAAAACTAAAGTATAAAACGCCCAAAGGGTTTGCCTCTCTCTCTTACACACTCCCCTCTATCTCTCTCTCCCTCTCCCTCTGACTCGTACTCTTGTTGTTTTAGTGTCGTTCGTCTATGCTAATTTGTTATTTTAAGCATGTTTGTTTGCTTTCCCAATGAAAATATTGACAAGAAAAAAGGTAACGTTCCAGCAGCAGCAACTACTACACCTGAGGCAAAGATGCTTATATACATACATATATAGACATATATTTTCTCAGTCATGCTGGGGGTAACGGCAACAACAAACAAGCGAGCCAATTAACGCAAAAGATACAATTTGAATTCCTAATGAATTTCGTATAGTGTTTTAGTTTGGCCAAGTCGCTGAAGGGCGAAATTCTTGAGCAGAAATAAATCAAGTAAATAATAAATATTAAAATTAGTATGCGAAATTTATTTGGAATTTCTTAGTAAATAAACATTAAATAACATTAATAAAAAATATATTTTGCAAATTTATTTTACTAATGCATTTTATTTTGTGTTCAGTAAAGTATAAAATTTATGATTTATATCAGTATTCTATTAAATAATATGAATTGGAAGGTGGCTCACAACTTAGTTATTAATTTTTATTAATTAATTTATTTTTGGTATTCTAGAAATACAAGACTTTAAGCCTGTAAAATGAATAA